CGCAGCAGCAACAACAACGGCTTGAACAGCAGCCGCAGCCACTTAAACAACAACAGCAGCAACCACTTAAACAACAACAGCAGCAACCACTTAAACAACAACCTAAACCGCAGCAGCAGCAAGAACAGCAAGGGCAGCAGGGGCAGAAGCAGCGTCGCAGGGGTCTCACCACGTACGAGCAGTGGACTGCGCTTCCTCCTCTGCCGTACCCGGACGACATTACCAGAACATTCCAAGCCAGCTTTGATGCCGCAGATGCTGTCGTGCGCTGGTTGGACTACCTCAACATGGCGTCACTGAGCGAAGCTGCTCGTCGCCAGAGCGAAATTGCCTGGCCAGCCTCCAACCACGTTCCCATGCTGCAGGAAGACAGGTAACACTCGACGAGAAAGCGCTCTCGCTGGCGTTGCCCCCGTGTGATATTTCGTGTGTGTGTATGTGTGTGTGTGTCTGTGTGTGTGTGTGTGTGTGTGTGTCTGCGTCTGTGTGTGTGTGTGTCTGTGTCTGTGTCTGTGTCTGTGTCTGTGTCTGTGTGCGTGCGTGTCCGTGCTGGCAACTCATCATCAGCGTGGCAAGCGCAATAAACAAACAATGGTTCAATGCGAACGTCGTTTACATGATGGCATCACGTCAGCAAACAGCGGGCTCTCGTCACTGAGAAGCGCCACGAACCAGCATCAGCACAGCTGGCTCAATCCCACTCGGGTGCTCCCACGTGCGATTCCAAAACTATCACCACCACCACAGCCACAGCCACTACCACTACCACGACCCCCGCACCACCACCATCAACTAACCACTGCCAGTACGGTTCCTGTTTCCCCTATCCTCTGTCCTCTGTCCCCTGTCCCCCTGTCCGCTGTCACGACCTGGGCAGGTAGTAGGCTTGCAGCTTGGCACGGACAGCTAGTCCGATTTTCCCCTCGCTCGTCGACAGGCTGTCCCAAAACGCGTCCAGTGCCGTCTTTGTCTTTGCACTGCTGCTCCGCCGCTTGAGACCTGATGCCAAAGTCGATGGCGATGCTGCTGTTGGTGTTGTTGCTGCTGCTGTTGTTGTTGCTGGTGCTGCTGTTGCTGACGCTGATGATGGGCTGAATACGGTGCTGTTGTCGCCACCGCGCGCACTTGACGAGTTTGGTTTCCGGTCCTCCAAACTGCTCATGTGCATCGTGGCCGCGTGTGCCTCCCGCAGCGCATTCGTAAACCTGAGACGCAGCACACACACGCACACGCGCACACGCGCGCGCACACATGGGTGCGCAAGCAAACGCATGATGATTAGGCATTGCAGAGGTGCTGTGCAACAGCATACACATGCTGATTTCATATTCTGCACACACATGTTGCCTCTTTTCCTCGTTCCCGTCGCCTGCAAACCCTCTCATCCACCACCATCACCACCACCGCCACCACCCGTGAACCGCACAGGGCAGGTGTCGGGTAGGCCTGGGTGATCATCTGCGCATGCTTCAGCGTTAGTCCGTTCATGTGCAGCAGCTGATGCGCAAACACTTCGCGGATCGTGCCAGTCTACACCAATGAAGGGCGGCGTGAAAGGACGGGGTACGTGAGTGATGGCATTATGAGGTGGCGACCACGGAGTTGCTGCTATGGAGTGAACGTGAGCACACGTGAACCAAGACACACACACACACACACACACACACACGACAAAACCAACGTGCACGCACAGCAGCGCGGCGAGAGATTTCTTGGAACGTTTGAAAGTCGAAGCTGTGCACGTGCCCGTCCTTCGGCTGTCCCCACCCAGCAAATCCTTTCGAGCGAAATGTGTGTGTGTGTGTGGGTGGGTGTGCGTGGGTGTGAGTGAGTCATAATGCATGTGAATGTGATATTGAAATATGTCGGCGTGTGTGTGTGATTCCACGAACAGCAACATATCAGTCACACAATTAGCACAACCCGCAGCACCTCTGAGATGGCAGCACATGCGCTCTGTTGGCGTCCAGGCTTCAACGCTGCACCCCTGTGACAATTGTGGTGTGATCATGCACGGGCACGTAGTTGCTGTTGGTGGACAGGCAGTCGACACAACGACACAATACCATATCATCCGCTGTCATCCAGCCATTCACACATTCACATGGCACTTGCACGGGTGCCAAGCCATCCAACGAGCCGCCACATCCCCTTCAACCACACGTGTGTGTGTGTGTCTGTGTGTGTCTGTGTGTATGTGTGTGTCTGTGTGTCTGTCTGTCTGTCTGACTGTGTGTGTGTGTGTGTGTGTGTGTGGTGTCACCTGAACGAGCTGCTTGATCATGCGCGTGCAGAGGACGAGGTACGCCTCCACCTCGCGAATGTTCGGCACCGTCTTCACAAAGAACCCGCCCTCCACCTGCATAAACAGCATATGACGCCCGAAAAAGAAGGATGGATGGATGTACACATTGTGTACGTTGTACTGTGACACAAAGGTGGTTCACAGCGCGGAACACAATCAACTCATGCAAAACAATGTGATGGTGTTGGACACACGCGCACACATATGCACACATATGCACACATATGCACACATATGCACACATACACATGCACGCACGCACACACGCACCTGGATGTTGAAGGTGGCCTGCTTGAGCCTGAGCCAGGGTGTGAAGTTCGAAGTTTGATTGCATGCAGGCAAATACGCATGGAAGCGGCGACAGCAAGTGGGCATCTCGGGTTGAGTGTGCCGTGAGACACCACATGGGCAGCCAATGTCACGCCCATCCACAATCCCCCACCCACACCCAGCGCAAAAACTAGGGAAATAACGTTTCCACGCCACCATCGGGCCCCAAGTCCACCATGCCAAGATGATGCCAGTCCGAACCTTTGCTTCGTCGATGCCTGGCACGTGCAGCATGACCCTCCTCCACAAAGAAGCTGGGGATGCGACACTTTCTTTTTGGGAATGGAAGTTGCAAGACGAATGGATCAACCCGTGAGGGATGGTATGGGGGAACAAACATGTGCGAGGTGAGCACCAGTCATGCGTGGGGGGGAAAGCAAAGGATGATGGGAGTGTCAGAATACCCCCATTTTTACGGTCACCCCCCAGGCAGCACAGCAGAGTGGATGCCATAACAACCCCCACTGACAACTGAATAAAAACCGTGGAAATTGGATTGTAGAGGCACCAACAATACTGGATTTCTGAGC